CCGCTGCTCGGCAACATCCTTCTGGCTCTTCTCCAACTCCTCAGTGAGCTTGGCCAACCGCGACTGCGTGAAAGTGAGATCCCCTTGCAGTTTGGATAGCTCAGCGGCAGAGCAACCCTCCTCGTTCAGCACAAGAGCCGTCGTGAACGTCCGCATCATCGCGGCCAAGTCCTCAGCCAGGACACGTCGACGGGTCTCTCGATCGGCCTAACGAACAACCTTCACCTCCCCGGCGGAGACAGTGGGAGAACGGGCACCATGAAAATATCCCGGATGCTGGTGGCAGGGATGGACGACATAACCTTCCTCGACGGTGCCGACCGTCAGATCCACCACTCGGGGCTCCTCGGACCTCTGCCTCTTCGGCGCTCCTTGAGACACAGGAGATTGGCTCTCTTGAGGCGAAGAGGACGAAGTTTCCCCCCCCCAGCGTCGCGACCTCCTGTCCGACCAGCTGGCTCACCCTCGTCCTCGGGGCCGCGGCATTCCTAGTAGCGCGCAACTGCTTCACCCGCTCCTCGACAGAAGACATGTTCGCTGCAAAAATAAAGAAAAGAGTTAGCGACGATCAAAAACCCCGACCACGGGGGGGAAACGAACATTCCTACCTAGATAATCCAGAGCGGACGCCCCGGTCGCACAACCGAGCAAAGTCTTAGTATTTATCAAACGCTTCTTGGTGCGTACGTTCCCCTGAGCGTCAAGGATATATCGACCGTCGGGCGTCACCATCTTCGACGGAGGGAGAGACCGCACAAAGGCAATTATCTTCAAATAGGCGGCCATGTCCTTCTCCTCGAGGGTCCCCGCCCGGACGATATACCTATCCGTCCCTCGGCTGAAATGCTCCGCAGTCCACAGTAGATGTATCTTAGGAAGCCACGCGCGGAACCGCTGGCCATCTACCGTTCGCTCGCCCTCGTCGAAGAGAGTGTCCGAGCCGTGCTGCGTGATCGGCTTGACGAGGTAGAACCGGTTTTTGAAGTCTTTGACAGAATCGCTATACGCTTTGAAATTTTTTGTCGATTGCTTGAAGGAGACCCATCCGTGGAGGCCGTGCGCCGTCTGCCGCTGTAGATGGAAGATACGGAAAAATAACGGCACCGTCGGCTCCACCGAGAGGTAGAAACACACCACCTCGAAAGCCCGGATGAAGGCCAAGGCATTGGGGTGCAGCTGGGACGGGGCAAGACGCAGCCAGTCAAAAAGCCCCAGATGGAAGGCGGAAAATGGTAACCGGAGCCGAGCTTCTTTAAAGTAGAATTCATGCATCGGGAACATCCGCTGCCCATATCGCGAGCAGATGCGGTGATGTTCTTTTGGCCGGTACACCTGCCAGTGCTGTGGCTCTCCTATGGGCGTGTCCTCGACCGTGGCGTACACGTCGGACGCGTCGGCCACAAAGCAAGAAGGGGTGGAAAGCGGCTCCTCGGCCGCCCACTCCTCGGACGGGGCAATACGCTCGTCGTCATACTCCGGAATCTCAGGTTCATTGTCTTCGACCATTATCCCCGGCACCAGAGCCGACATCTACACCTGAAAGCAGAGGACAACGGTGAATTCGATAGCCAGGATCAAATCCACCATTCCACCGCAAGTCAAGTGAAAGGGCGACAAAGCCGGGAAGCGACGAGCAAACGCTCGCTCCCCGTCTACCCTCCTCGGTGGATCAAAGGCCGACCCTTCATCCCCTCTCGGGACAACCATCGGAGAAGGTACTTCTCCCCGGGTCATTCATCAGAGAAAACCCCCGTCCTCGGGGCATTCATCAGAAAAAGCTCCCGTCCTCGGGGCATTCATCGGAAATTTCGCCAGACACGGCGGAACTCGCGTCCCTCCTCGGGGCGTTCATCACGCCCCGACCACACGTTCCAATTAAACGACGGAAATAAAAAGGGAGGGAAAAGAGGAACTCACTTGTAACGGCGGCGGACGGAAGAAAAGATCAAACGGTACGGCGGCGATCGGCGGCAAGCGGTGGACGAGCAGAGACGATAAAGATTAGCAGAGAGAAAAGTAACAGAATGAGCGGGGACCTCCATATTTATAATCCAGCGCGGGACTCGAAGCGACCCTAGGCTCATTAATGACATAGGGTAGCCGCCCCTACGACCGCTTAACGCAAGACACGTGGCGGCAACCTGACAGTCGCGTCCCTTCACCTGCCTCCTCCCCGCTCTGCCGACGACCGGAAATCTTCGTACGAGTACCCGCTTCAGATGCAACGACCTTAAGTCCTCGCTCTCTCCCCAGAGCTTCGACTTGGGGGGCTCCTGTTCCGGTATGGGCCCAACCTCGGCAGGCCCAATACCGCGTACGGCCCAACAAGCGAATCGGGCACGCCAGGCACGTGCTCCCCACGAGACGAGCAGGGCAAGCCGCCGAACACAAGCAACGTCCCCACAACCTTTTGTCGTCCACCACACCGGACGGGCAGAACCGTCCCCGGCTCACCAAAGCGCGGCCCTTGGTTCCTCCCCTCCGCGGGAAGAACAACGCGCTCCGGGGAACCTCCCGAGCTCCCCTCCGAGGGGAGAACAACATGTCCGGCGCACGTTCTCCACGTGCTCCCCTCCGCGGGGACACGTCACCGGCCAACTGCCCACCTCCGAAAGAGCAGGTCAAACCCACCTTCCGGAGATCTAGGAGCGGTTGAACTAGGGCGAAGACCACGTCCTGGTCTTCACTACGCCACGTAAGCCCTAGCAGTCATTAGGGTTGGGCCTGTTCATCCAGCCCACCCCAAATGACCGTTGGCCCAGCGCTGGGTTCTCTCTATAAATACCCTCTTCCTCAAGAGGGTCAGGTAACTCTTCTTGCCCCCTTTTTCTGTACTTTCGCTTCCACTCTGCCCAGTTTCTTACTTTGGCATCGGAGTGTCTTGCAGGTACACCCCCCTCCTCCTTCTCACCCCGGTGAACAGATAGCCGTCCAGCAGCACGTGGCCATATCGTGATCCCTTCCTGATCAGGTCAGATCAGGAGTCTTCTGCTCGACGAAGGGAGGACAAAGACTGGCTGGTGGGCAGCCAGGGTCCTGCCCATCAGAGTCTTCTGCTCGACGAAGGGAGGACAAAGATTGGCTGGTGGGCAGCCAGGTCCTGCCCATCAGAGTCTTCTGCTCGACGAAGGGAGGACAATTGTGAACAGCGTCGCCATGGCAGAGGGCACTCGTGATCTTGAAGTTTTGAGAGATGAAGCTTTGGTTCTCTGCTCGGAGGAACGGGGGAGCTTAGTTTCCCACAGACGGCGCCACTGATCTGACCTGATCAGAAGGGGATCACTGGATGGCCACACTCCGTTAGGCTGCTTCCTGTTCACCGGTGGGGAGGATGAGGAGGGGGTGTACCTGCAAGGCACTCCGATGCCAAAGTGAGAAAATGGGCAGAGTGACAGCAAATACAGAAATCGGGTAAGAAGTGAATTACCTGGCCCTCTTGGGGAAGAGGGTATTTATAGAGAGACCCCAGCGCTGGGCCAACGGTCATTTGAGTTGGGCTGGATGGCCAGACCCAATTCAAATGACTGCTAGGGCTTACGTGGCGTAGTGAAGACCAGGACGTGGTCTTCGCCCTAGTCCAACTGCTCCTAGATCTCCGGAAAGTGGGTTTGACCTGCTCTTTCGGAGGTGGGCAGTTGGTTGATGACGTGTCCCCGCGGAGGGGAACACGCGGAGAACGTGTGGAAGGCACGTTGTGCTGCCAGACGGGATGGGCACAAGTTCTGCCCACGGGATGGGCGCCTGCCCGACGGGAGGAGGTTCTGCCCTGACGGGATGGGCACAGGTTCTGCCCGACAGGATGGGCACAGGTTCTGCCCACGGGGATGGGCACCTGCCCGACGTGAGGAGGTTCTGCCCTGACGGGATGGGCACAGGTTCTGCCCGACAGGATGGGCACAGGTTCTGCCCACGGGGATGGACACCTGCCCGACGTGAGGAGGTTCTGCCCATGGGTCCCTGCTCATCAGTGTGGTCCAATTGGGCCCAACCTTAGTGGAATTTTGGGCCTTCTCGATTGTGGGCTAAGCCTCGGCCCAATCCAGAATATATATATATATCCAAAATAAATGTCTCAAAGTGAACAACACAACACTCAAACCCTAAAAAGCTTCGATAAATGGCTGTCTATCGCAAAAATGAGAAAGCACCAACCAAACCCTAACAAACTTTCGATCATTGTTGTTTACCACAAAAATGAGAGAACACCAACCAAATCCCAAAAAACCTTCCATCTTTGCTCGCTTTCCACATAAATAAGAAAACACCAATCTAACCCTAAAAAATCTTCAATCATTACTCGTTAGCTGCAATAATACAAAAACGTCAATCAAATCTCTAAAAAATCCTTCAATCATTGATGCCTAGTACATTAATGAGAGAACACCAACTAAATCCTAAAAAACTTTCAATTAGTGATCGCCTGTCACAGAAATAAGAAAACATCAATCAAACCCTAAAAAACATTTAATCATTGCTTGTCTACCACAAAAACCAAAAAATACCAATCGAATCCTAAAAAACCTTCGATCATTATTCGTCTACCACAAAAAACCTTCAATCATTAATGTCTACCACATAAATGAGAGAATATCAACCAAATCCCAAAAAAATTCAACCATCTACCAAAAAAAAAACACCAATCAAACCCTAAAAAACTTCAATCATTACTCGTCAACCCCAAAAGAAAACATCAATAAATTAAAAAAAAATAAAAAAAAAAACCTTCAACTATTGCTCGTCTATTAAAAAAAGTTTTAAATAAAACATCAATTAAACCAACTCTATAAACTCACAATCACTTTTGTAACAAAAGAGAGAATCACTTCCCCTCGAACAAACACTCAACCGAGAAAAAGAAAACCAAAAGCGACGCTCACTCTCACTCCTATTTCACAACTCACCTTCCCAATTCTGCAACGCGTTCTCTATGAATTCTCAAACCCTATTTTCACCGTAATTCTCAAATACCTTTAATTTTACAGTTTTCCGCTTCGTGATCAATGGATTCCTCGGTCAACTTGCTTCCCGCAAAACGCCCCGCTCCAACTGGTATAACATTTTTCATTCCTGATTTTCTCGTCGTGTTTTCAGCTGCATTTTTGTTTTTTTCCCTCTTTCGTTTTCATCGATTTGTATTGATTATTTTCGTAGTGTATATGAAATTTAGTGCCATCTGACCTGTTAAATTCGTAGATGATTTTGTGATTTGAGTTGAATCGCTAGTGTTCATGGTTACATATATTTTTTATGCGATTTCATTTTTTGGGAATGTGTTTGGAGCCCTTTTTGTTACTGCATGATGTTTCAGTCCACCTTTCATACATGCATGAGGTGGTTTGGAAGTTATGATGCTTAAGAACTTAAGAGCATTTAGTTTATTGGATATTGGTATAATGTAAATTTTAACTCGTTTCATTTACTCCAGGAGTTTCGTCAGAGGAAGGATGCAAAAAACGTAAATTATCAAGTGGTGTGAATGTTGTAGATTACAAAAATCCTTATGCAATCTCAGATGTTCTAAGTCATTTAGAGAGTGGTAAATTTGGAAGTGTTACAAAGGATATTGAAGCCCTTATAAACCGAAAAATGCAGATAATAGTTGGCCCCCACATTGCGAAATTTCCCAAACTTATCAACCAATTCCCGAAAGTGGTAACAAATCATGATGAGGAAACTCCCATCTTGGGAAATAAAAAAGTGAATGGTATGTCACATCAAAATGTCATAGATTTGGATTTGGAGGGAGGACATGTGGAAAAGAATGTTTTGGAACCGAAGAGAGAAAATGATGTTCCTGGCGCGTCATTTCCCATTGTAATAATTGATTCGGATGAGGAAGATGATATGGATCAAAAGTCTCATCTTCCATTTTATGAAGTTGCATTGCCGAGACCAGTCCAGTCTCCTGCACTAAAAATGACTGTAAGCTTTACCTTGCTATTGTAATCCTTTAAATAAACCTTTTATTTGGGTTCTATCCCTCTTTGGCTGATTTGTCTGAACTATTGTTTTTCATTTTATTTTTCATTTGTGGCAGGAAAATTCATGTAAACTCATAATTGACTCATCTTGAATATTTATCTTTTCCTTAATTCTGTTGTTCTTTTCAAGAATACACCGTCCTATTTTTATATATGTATAAAGCAGAATTTTTTTGGAGATAAGGCTAAAGATATAACTCAGTCTGACATATATCTGGGAGACATAACTTTGAAAGTTAATCATGTAATTTATACATTTTATGACTCATTCTATATGCTTACACTTTTTTTTTGCTGTTTAAATGTCTTTGTACCATATGTAATTTATTGTTATATATCTTTGGCTTTATTCTGTAAATGACAGAGGTATAATATATCATTGCATATCCTAAATGTTTCATTTCTCTTAGTCAGTGTTATCAAATGGCGGCGCCATGGCTGCTATAGCGGATATACATGGCATTTTTTGGGCTTGCCGCAATGGTAAGTATCGACCGATATTGCGGGTTTTTCCGCCATAATCCACTATAATGGCGCCGCAAAGTGGCTGGTATGGCGGTATTTTGCTCTCCGCCATGGACTGCTATCCGCCATCAACAACACTGCTCTTAGTTGTTGTAGACTTGTAGGAGTTCTCTTCATTGAGTCATGTGCGCTATTAGGCCCATTCTCCCAATAATTTCAAATTTTCAATAATAATAGTATGCTGAATTAATCCAGATTCTGCTGTAAAATTTTATTGAAGTGAAGTCTGACCTTGTGTCTTAAGTGTCTCAGTTTCGTAATTTATGAACTGTTTGGAGGATGTGCTTAAATGTTACACCATATATGGTAGGACACTTGAGACAATTGCATAGCCTAAATGTTACATTCTGTGTATTAGAATTATAAACTGTAGCTACTTTTCTTGAGAAGATACACGTCTTTCTTTTACAGTGCAAGTTTCTCATTGACATAGAGCATTATGACAGCTTTTTTCTCTCATTCTATCTAACTGACCCCACAATGGGAAAAGGAATCTTGTTGTTGTTGTTGTTGTTGTTTCACTGACGTTCTTTACTATTTTCTGTGCAATAATGCTTTATAGGGCTATCATCATGCTCCCATTGCTTACCATGATGCTCCAAATGCTTACCATGGAGAGAGTGCAGATGTAAAATTTGAAACAAGTCTGCCACCTAAAGCCTCTCCTAAAGATAACACAAGGAAAGATAAAGGTGTTTATGTTGGTGTACATGAGGAGGAGGATCATGAGGTTGATGCTGTAGATGACGGGCTAGATGATATTTGGAGGGAAATGTCAATGGCAATAGAAACTTCTAAAGTATGATTACAGTCTTTTGATTTCACTTTTCAATTTATGCTGTCAATTGTGCACTTTCGCGGTGCTATAGCAAAATAGCATAGTGGTGGTCGGGTTTGGCACGACGCTTTTGATTTCACTTTTCAATTTATGCTGTCAAATATTTTTGTTTTTTTATTTTCAAAACGACTTCTTTTTTTTAAAGGTATACATTTCAATCCGAAACTTTTTAGGATTAATGTTTTATTCTACATTCTGTTACAATCTTGATCACAAACAACCATTATGTTCTTCCTACTTTTAGTTCAGTTTTATTATGTTCTTCTCTCCTTACGTTTTATTGCTCGATAATTTAGGTTCTTTAACTTTTAAGTATGATAGTTTCTTTAAATTTGTGTATTTTTTTATTTTTATTTTTGAGTATTTATGCTTACTTTCTACACTGATTTTTAGCCTTTTTCTTCTCTCCGTTATGCTTGTTAACTTATATCGAGGTTACTTGCAAAGCTTCTGTCAGATTCTACATTGTTAATATGCTTTTGTTCTGTCCTGAAGGCAACAACTTTTATACATATCATGGAGCATTCGGAATGTTGTTTCTGTTACTAAAACATATTTGCTGTTCTTTGTTTTTTAACATTCTTCTCTATCATATTGATCATTTTTGTTTAAAATTTGAATTTTACTAGCTGTAGCATTCTTAGAGTTTGTTTGCGATTAATTTTTTTAAATTGTACTCCTACTAGGATGTTTCTGCAGATCCTCAACCCGAAGAAGAAGAGGAAGAAGATGCTGACTGCGATCATTCTTTCGTTTTAAAAGACGATCTTGGTTATGTTTGTCGCGTTTGTGGGGTTATTGACAGAGGAATTGAAACCATATTTGAGTTCCAATACAAGGTTAGACACCTGTCTCTGCATGAATGTTTGTTTGGTCAAAAATCTTGGTCATAAAGAACATAGCAAGTGCATGAATTGAGTTTTAAAGTATGTCTTAAAATTAGATGCATAGGTTGAATGTTTCAACAAGGCATAATAATATGGAAAGTTAGACAGTTGGAACTTAGAAACTTGTTATGTTACAGAATCTCTTACAATTTATGGTTTCTGATGTCTCTTTTGTAGGTTAAAAGGAGCACAAGAACTTATGCCTCTGATTCAGGCAATGCCAAAGAAAAAATGGATGCTTTTGGTGTTATGGTTACTAAAGATGATCTTATGGTTACTGATGTATCAGCACATCCTCGGCATGCGAATCAAATGAAACCACACCAAGTCGAAGGATTCAACTTTTTAGTCAGAAACTTGGCGGGGGACCGTCCCGGGGGATGCATCCTGGCTCATGCTCCAGGATCTGGAAAGACTTTCATGATTATCAGTTTCATGCAAAGTTTTCTAGGGAAGTATCCTAATGCCCGACCTCTAGTGGTGCTTCCCAAGGGAATATTATCGACTTGGAAAAAAGAGTTTCAAACATGGCAAGTGGAAGATATACCACTTTATGACCTATACACTGCGAAGGCGGACAGTAGACTTCAGCAACTGGAGGTTTTAAAACAATGGATGAATAACAGGAGTATCCTTTTCTTAGGATACAAACAGTTCTCTTCCATTGTGTGTGATAATAGTAATACCAATGCATCAATGAATTGCCAAGAGATATTACTGAAGGTTCCCTCAATTCTCATTTTAGACGAGGGACACACTCCAAGAAATGAGAATACTGATATGGTACAGTCCCTTTGCAAAGTACATACACCAAGGAAAGTTGTGCTCTCTGGAACCCTTTATCAAAATCATGTCAGGGAGGTATTCAATGTTCTCAATCTAGTGCGACCGAAGTTTTTAAAGATGGACACATCTAGGCCTATTGTTCGACGCATTAAGAGTAAGATCCATAATCCCGACGTGAAAAACTTCTATGATTTAGTCGAGAACACATTGCAGAAAGACCCGGATTTTAAAAGGAAAGTGGGTTTAATTCATGATTTGCGTGAGATGACCAATCAAGTTCTTCACTACTATAAAGGAGATTTTCTTGATGAGCTTCCTGGCCTGGTAGATTTCACTGTGTTTCTCAAACTTACACCTAGACAGAAGCATGAAGTTGAGAAAGTAAAGAGGATATCTAGAAAGTTCAAAATGTCTTCTGTGGGCAGTGCTGTGTATCTGCACCCAAAGTTGATGCCCATTGCACAAAAAATAGGTGAAAAGTTCACAAAATCTGGTGAAAAGACGACAATACATGATCATGTAATAGACAATTTTATAGAGGACATAGATATAAGAGATGGTGTCAAATCAAAATTCTTTCGCAATATGCTGAACCTATGTGAATCAACTGGGGAGAAGCTTCTGGTGTTCAGTCAATATCTTTTGCCTTTGAAATATTTGGAAAGGTTAGCTATAAAATGGAAGGAATGGAGTATTGGAAAAGAAATCTTCGTGATATCAGGAGAGACACTACCTGAACAAAGGGAGTTTTCCATGGAAATGTTCAACAATTCATCGGATGCAAAAGTATTTTTTGGGTCAATCAAAGCATGTGGTGAGGGTATATCATTGGTTGGAGCATCCCGTGTCATCATATTGGATATTCACCTAAATCCGTCTGTTACTCGTCAAGCTATTGGCCGTGCTTTCCGGCCAGGCCAGAAAAAGAAAGTCTTTGTGTATCGATTGGTAGCTGCTGATTCTCCAGAAGAGGAAGACCACACTACTTGTTTCAAGAAGGAATTAATTTCAAAAATGTGGTTTGAATGGAATGAGTATTGTGGTGACAGAGCTTTTGAAGTTGAAACACTCGATGTGAAGAGATGTGGCGATTTTTTTCTGGAAAGTCCATTGTTAGGGGAAGACGTACAAGCCCTGCATAAAAGGTTAGACCACTCTTACTTACGTGTTTTGTATATCATTAGAAAATAAGACGTTTATTTTGTTGTCCTAATTCTCATTTTATTTGTATTCATCAGGTAAACTATGGGGGCATTCAATAAACTTGGTGGGGAACTTTTTTGCTTTTATCAATGAACAGTTATAGCAGTTGTATTTTCGATTCAGACCAATAAAGAGTTGCTGAATTGAGTTCATATAGTTTACATGGGATCGGTCTTACTCACCGGGATGGAGAGATGTTTAGCTTATTTGATTTTCTGAACTTGTTTGTACTGCAGAAACCCTCTGCTTTTACATTGCTACTGCATCAGCTTATTATATAAATGTTTTAAGTCTTGTATGTCTGGTTGGTTGAATTGCTAATACTATGGTTGTTTTGCTTCAGAAAGAGATATCAGAAAAGCATGAAATAAATTGACCAGTCAAAAGACAAATCAGTTTGACACTGTTTGAGTGTTTTATTGGATAATTAGTAAGATACCCGTGCAAGCACGGGTAAATTTATTTGATAGTTCACACGGATAAATTTATTTAATATGATATAAATTATATTTAAATACACATGGAAATTTAAAATAAATTATTTAATTGTAGAATGAATAATAATTTTATAAATTTAATTGTATTAAATAACTTTAAAAAAGTGTAATTGCTAAAAGGTAACACATTAGATAGTGTGTTGATAATAACCAATAAAATTGGGTATTTTATTATTGTTTTTATGTGTTATAGTTTCGTCCATATTATCTATCAATTATCTAAAAATTTAGAAATAGAACAATGGAATGAGAAAAAATATTTTATAAAATAAAGTTGATATATAAAATTGAGAAAAAATACTTTATCAATTATCTAAAAATTTAGAAATAGAACAATGGAATGAGAAAAAATATTTTATAAAATAAGTTGATATATAAAATTGAGAAAAAATACTTTATAAAATAAAGTTGATATATAAAAAGATTTTGATAAGGAAAAACTAAAGCCTAATAAAAACTAAATTTACGCTAATTAATTGCATACAATTAGTGGTTGTGAGAAAATATTTGTTTATAAAGATATATAAAAAAATTTTGATAAGGAAAAACGAAGGCTTAAGAGAGATTAAGAGAACTCATATCGAACATAAAATGAGAAAATATTTGAAAATAGCATCAACAAATATTAAATTTTCATAATAAATATAAAACCGGTCAGGTTATTGATCTGGTCTGATTATTGGATCAGATATGTTATTAAATCAGTGAGAACCGGTCAAAACCGTTAAAAACCGGTGAACCGACGGTTTAAATGCATATCTTTTTTCTTCATAATAACGACGTGGTTTTGATAATTTATTTATTTTAAATAAAATTAAAATATAAGTAGACTTTATTCAAAACTTATTTGGAACAATTTTTCTTTGTTTGTAATCAGATATTCAAAATTTATTTGGATTTGTATTTTATACTATTTTTTCGTGTGTGATGACTACGTAAAGAGTTTGAATTTAAAGAATGAACTTGTGAAATCATGATATTTTAAAATTTTGTAGGTGTTGTAATATTTTTTAGAGATCGAATCATCCGGTTCGACCGATTTATGAAATATCTTCATCGATTTGATGATCGGTACAGTTTTTAAAATATTGAATAGTGTAATGTAGTGGTTACTCACATTACAAAACGTATAATTGCATGTAATTTAATCCACCAAAACAAAAATAATATAAATAAATATTTTAAACTTTCTTTAAAACACAACAATTGATAAAATCTTTAAATAGAAAAATTAATATCAAATAGATAAAAAAAAAAAAAGAATATGGAATAAAACAAAAATTGTATCAAAAGCATTTCTACATTAAGTGTCCATACGAATGTTTCATGTAGTCTAGTCACCTGAAAACAAATCAAGTCATAATTATATCGATCAGAAATTTATTTGTTACACAAATAAACTAAAGAATCACACATTAATTATGCAAATGGTTCTAAAAAATTATTGATTTTATTTGATAAAATGAAAGGCGTCTTTTATTATGATACTCGTTTACCTAACAATGTCGTATATGTATATATATATATATATATATATATATATATATATATATATATATATATATATATATATATATATATATATATATATATATATATATATATATATATATATATATATATATATATATATATATATATATATATATATATATATATATATATATATATATATATATATATATATATATATATATATATATATATATATATATATATATATATATATATATATATTAAAATGCACATTGTTCATAGACCTTGCAGTTTCACAACCAGCCATGTAATATATAGCAGACCAAGAGAAAGAACATAAAAAAATTGATCATATATTTGATTAGTGATCTTACTAATTGCCATGTAACATGAGTTCATCAAACCAACACCATTCATGATTCTTAATGCAACCATTTCTCTATTTCCATCGATTGATAATCATCATCAACTCACGTGTCTTATGCCATCTATACATCAACATGAGGTTTTTAATATTAGATATAAATACAATGAAATGATCATATTTTTGAATTATGATGACAATAAGTAGCAATATAACATACTCTCAAACCAAAAATAATATAATTTGAAAAATAAACTTACCATTTATATATAAAGCTCTATGAGTTGACAGTCAATTACCAATTTCATTATATTCTACTATTACGAACATATATCCTAGGAGAAGGAAATGCTACAACAGTTCTTAGTGAGAAAAACTGCATTTTGTAGTATTCAAAATATTATGTTAATGTGTTAGTATCAGTTGACAATTAATTACTAGTATGATAGACTAATTATAGTTTTAACTTCTATTCTATAAATTAATATCAATATTAAATATTGTTTCATTCAATCAATCACTTATTCATAATAAGACTTTTTTTTTCAATTTCCCCTCAAACCCTCTTAACCAATGGTCAAGAAATTATGCAGCAATAGCAATAAATTAGAATGATCAGCACCACATTTCATGCCACAATTATATTTGTTCCCTCTCAGATACAAAATCAAGAAGCACTTTCACTCTTGATAATGGTAAAGATAGAAATTAAGTTGAAGGATTCTTGTAGTAGAATCTAGCCTCAATTTTCCCTCAAACCCCATCTTTTGGCAACACATAAACTAGATTATGAACAAACATCGGTTCATACTTGAAAATTGAGATCAAACTCATTTAGATTGCATAAGTATAAAGAGAAAAAGAGTGCAAGTTAAGGCAAAAAGAAAAATATTAAAGGGTGGCCTGTCATATGGACTTTCCTGAATACACAATAAACTGATATGAATGCATCTCATAACTTCATTTCTTGAATAAGAATCGTGCAATATTGGATTAAGTAACTTCAATGGTGTTGCTCTGACCATTTTTTCCAAACCTATGATATAATACATAATATTGTTAAAGCTTGTATTACATCAAAAGAGCATAAGAAAAAAGTGATACTTTTTTATACTCACATAGCTTAAGAGGTCATCATCAGCATCATTCCATTGATTTTAATCAGTATTCTTCTTGTCACTTACAATTTCCACCATTCGTCCTGTATTTACTTGAGTTTGATCTCCCTGAAAAATTCTTGTCATCCCAAAATCTGAAATTTTTGGATCCATATTTTCATCTAATAGAGCATTGCTAGCTTTGAGATCATGATGAATAATTCTAAACTGGGAGTCTTCATGCAGATAAAGAGTCCCTCGAGCGGTGCCAACTATAATCTTGTAGCGTTTTGACCAATTAGAAAATTTATTTTTTTATAAAACTAATAAAAAATAGAAAATGGAAAATGATCAAGGCTTTTATTTGGTATGTATTCATAGAACTCCAACCTTCTGGGCATGTACTTCTGCAACAATAATATAATTCATAATCATCACCCTAAAATTATTGAATATAATATCATGCAAAGAATTAAATTGTTGAATATATATTCAACTATGTATTTTGCTTTAGCAGCAGACTACTAAAGATTAAGGAAATAACATGAAAGTCAAATAAAAGCTGAAGTTTATAACTAATGATAAATTATTGTGTTTATTTTTAATTCAAGTTTTAAAGCATCAAGAATTTTTTCCTTAATTTTCAATGATAGCTAAGAAATCTAAGATTCTAGAGCTATGCATCACAAACTATAAACAACATATAATAACTATAAAGTTTAAACCAATTAAGGCTGCAACATCAACAATATCAGTGTAAAACTTATTTGGTAAAATGTATGCTAAACAGTGTATCATACAGAGGCCTCCATTCAATAGTCAGTGTCATCTTTACCGAATTTGGACTAACAGATGCCAACATATCTCCAGTAGCATCCCAACAAATATTATTTATCGGTTCAGGATGACACTACAAAGACAAGTGATTTAACTACAAAATTCACATAGAAAAATCTTCAATTAAAAAACATCACGATAGCTATATAGAGCAACTCAATCTTTTACCGGCAGTGAGTAAATTTGTCTGTCAATTTTGACGTTGAAAATAAACACCACTTTATCAGAATCTGTTGCAAGTAACTGTCTCAATCAAGGCTGAAACCTCACTTCTGCACTACCTCCCTAAAACAAACGATTGTGATGAATATTAGAGACACATAAAATTGTAGAAAATGGATATGATAGAATGTACTTGTTTTGACTAACCTTAGATACACGGGTACAAGAGGATGGAGTAATGTTCCAATACCGAATTCAATTTTCAGTATTCAGAAGCAGAAAATGTTAGTCTTCTTGAGGTGGAAATCAAGGGACATAATAGCTGAACTATGCCCACTATATTCTTGAACACAATAGGTTGGCTGCAATGAAAGAAAAATAAAAAAGAGTAAATTGTATTTTGTATATATAATTGCAAAAGATTTTGCAAGTTTTAAACATCGTATGTGCAAGTTATAAATAACTTATTTATTTGGTGAATATGTTAATACCTTATATAGTAATATGTAAATTGAGAAAAGTTTGTTATGTTACATTAGATGCGTCCCATAACCACACAGATTCGTCACATGAGGCAGTTGTCAATTTGTGTTCTTTAGGAGTGCT